TCAGGTGTATCAGTATGTAGTGTCTCTACTTTAAAGAGTCCTCTCCTGCTGATGTTCAGGTGTATATCAGTATGTAGTGTCTCTACTTTAAAGAGTCCTCTCCTGCTGATGTTCAGGTGTATATCAGTATAGTGTCTCTACTTTAAAGAGTCTCCTGCTGATGTTCAGGTGTATATCAGTATGTAGTGTCTCTACTTTAAAGAGTCTCTCCTGCTGATGTTCAGGTGATATCAGTATGTAGTGTCTCTACTTTAAAGAGTCTCTCCTGCTGATGTTCAGGTGTATATCAGTATGTAGTGTCTCTACTTTAAAGAGTCCTCTCCTGCTGATGTTCAGGTGTATATCAGTATGTAGTGTCTCTACTTTAAAGAGTCCTCTCCTGCTGATGTTCAGGTGTATATCAGTATGTAGTGTCTCTACTTTAAAGAGTCCTCTCCTGCTGTGTTCAGGTGTATATCAGTATGTAGTGTCTCTACTTTAAAGAGTCCTCTCCTGCTGATGTTCAGGTGTATATCAGTATGTAGTGTCTCTACTTTAAAGAGTCCTCTCCTGCTGATGTTCAGGTGTATATCAGTATGTAGTCTCTACTTTAAAGAGTCCTCTCCTGCTGATGTTCAGGTGTATATCAGTATGTAGTGTCTCTACTTTAAAGAGTCCTCTCCTGCTGATGTTCAGGTGTATATCAGTATGTAGTGTCTCTACTTTAAAGAGTCCTCTCCTGCTGATGTTCAGGTGTATATCAGTATGTAGTGTCTCTACTTTAAAGAGTCCTCTCCTGCTGATGTTCAGGTGTATATCAGTATGTAGTGTCTCTACTTTAAAGAGTCCTCTCCTGCTGATGTTCAGGTGTATATCAGTATGTAGTGTCTCTACTTTAAAGAGTCCTCTCCTGCTGATGTTCAGGTGTATCAGTATGTAGTGTCTCTACTTTAAAGAGTCCTCTCCTGCTGATGTTCAGGTGTATATCAGTATGTAGTGTCTCTACTTTAAAGAGTCCTCTCTTGCTGATCTGTTCAGGTGTATATCAGTATGTAGTGTCTCTACTTTAAGAGTTCCTCTCCTTCTGATGTTCAGGTGTATATCAGTATGTAGTGTCTCTACTTTAAAGAGTCCTCTCCTGCTGATGTTCAGGTGTATATCAGTATGTAGTGTCTCTACTTTAAAGAGTCCTCTCCTGCTGATGTTCAGGTGTATATCAGTATGTAGTGTCTCTACTTTAAAGAGTCCTCTCCTGCTGATGTTCAGGTGTATCAGTATGTAGTGTCTCTACTTTAAAGAGTCCTCTCCTGCTGATGTTCAGGTGTATATCAGTATGTAGTGTCTCTACTTTAAAGAGTCCTCTCTTGCTGATCTACAGTACATTTTGCTGAAAATTCTTATGTACTTTTACTAAAGTGAGATAATAAATCCAGGACTTTTACTTTGTATTTTGATATTATTATAATGTTACTTATACTAAAGTTAAGGATCTGAGTAGTTCTTCCATCTCTACCAATAGTTTCGGGGAGTTGTCCTCCTTGTTTTTTGGTCATATTTGAGCATATTTCTAAATTCAGGCTTCATTTAGTTTCACTTTCCTCAAACACAACCTGCCAGGAACAGTTGTGATGTTGAGAGTTTAAATACCCGCCATTAAAGTGCTGCTGCCACTTGTTTACTTACATTTGTTGATCAAATAACTCTGCGAGATGAATGATGGGAACATCCACACTTCTCCAGCCATCTTGCCTTCATCTTTATTGCCCATTATTCTCGGAAATGTCGTAAAGAAACGAGCCACTTGTATCCACTTTATGACCAGTAGATTCCTCCCAGTCTGCTGTGGTTTCTGCAGTCACATTGTTCTGGTGGTTCGGATACTTTTTAATGTATTTTCACTGGAGATGCATCGATCGATCGGCAGAATCCTATCAGTCTCAGACAAAGCAGATTCCCATCGTTGAAACACTAGACAGCCAACCACACACACTGTGTAATTCATTTATATGTAATTCATTCCCATGCATGATGCTCAGAGTAATCAAGGACACACACCTGTTACATTTTGTCAGTTAAGTGGTGCAGTTATGATGTACTTTTGAAGGCAGAATCTCCCTGGTCCAATGGGATTTCTCCATGTGATTTTGGGTTATTGCAGAAAATAATATCTATGGCAAACAAAGTTAGGCTATAAAGGAGCTACAGCACGGTCACATGACTTCACGTCACCACCGCTAAGCTAAAGGCGGCTAATGTTGGGCTATAAAGGAACTACAGCACGGTCACATGACTTCACGTCACCACCGCTAAGCTAAAGGCGGCTAATGTTGGGCTATAAAGGAACTACAGCACGGTCACATGACTTCACGTCACCACCCCTAAGCTAAAGGTGGCTAATATTGGGCTATAAAGGAACTACAGCACGGTCACATGACTTCACGTCTCCACCGCTAAGCTAAAGGTGGCTAATGTTGGGCTATAAAGGAACTACAGCACGGTCACATGACTTCACGTCACCACCCCTAAGCTAAAGGTGGCTAATATTGGGCTATAAAGGAACTACAGCACGGTCACATGACTTCACGTCTCCACCGCTAAGCTAAAGGAGGCTAATGTTGGGCTATAAAGGAACTACAGCACGGTCACATGACTTCACGTCACCACCGCTAAGCTAAAGGTGGCTAATGTTGGGCTATAAAGGAACTACAGCACGGTCACATGACTTCACGTCACCACCACTAAGCTAAAGGAGGCTAATGTTGGGCAATAAAGGAACTACAGCACGGTCACATGACTTCACGTCACCACCGCTAAGCTAAAGGTGGCTAATGTTGGGCTATAAAGGAACTACAGCACGGTCACATGACTTCACGTCACCACCACTAAGCTAAAGGTAGCTAATGTTGGGCAATAAAGGAACTACAGCACGGTCACATGACTTCACGTCACCACCGCTAAGCTAAAGGTGGCTAATGTTGGGCTATAAAGGAACTACAGCACGGTCACATGACTTCACGTCACCACCACTAAGCTAAAGGTAGCTAATGTTGGGCTATAAAGGAACTACAGCACGGTCACATGACTTCACGTCACCACTGCTAAGCTAAAGGTGGCTAATGTTGGGCTATAAAGGAACTACAGCACGGTCACATGACTTCACGTCACCACCGCTAAGCTAAAGGTGGCTAATGTTGGGCTATAAAGGAACTACAGCACGGTCACATGACTTCACGTCACCACCGCTAAGCTAAAGGTGGCTAATGTTGGGCTATAAAGGAACTACAGCACGGTCACATGACTTCACGTCACCACCGCTAAGCTAAAGGCGGCTAATGTTGGGCGTGATGATGTTTAGTCGTCTCATTTAGGCTCTTGTTAGTAACCTTCATTTTGTATTCACCGGTGGGGTATATTTACTGACGTAGTTCATGTCGTAGAATTAGAATCTCTTCAGCTTGTGTTAACCACAGACCTTATTTCAGGCTAACAACCAAAAAAACATTCAGGAAACCATTGACTTCCACACTAGTGATCATTTCAAATGTATGAATTTACAACTAGATGTTCCATTCCTGAAAAGCCACAAAATGGTCCATCAATTATAGTTCCTAGAAAGAAATAACTCTAGCAGGTCGGACTGTAAATGAATCTGAATCAACGGAGAACATTTTAATCAGTGCATCTCTAATTTCACCTTCTTGATTTCCATCTGTTTGGCGTCCCCACTTGTAGGAGAAGTCTTATATAATCTCAGATCACGTCCTCCAAACATCTGGCTGCCGTCCAATACCATTCCTTCTACTCTGAAGAGTCTGTGCCCACTTGTATCACTGAGGGAGGTTTTCTGTGGTGATTATATTATCAAAGTGATATCAGAATCATCAGAACACTTCATTTATCTCAGGGGAAACTGGACAGTTGCTCCATTATGGCATAAAATAAACAATAAAAAAAAATAGGATACAAATATTTATAAAAACCGAAGTAAAAAGTCCATAAAAGATCAAATAAAGTGAAAACTTGCACATCATAGTACAACACATAAAGCCATATCATTGATTACTGACCTAATATTTCATTACTATTCAACATTTGCATTCAGTTGTGTAAACAAGAAGTATTACAAGTATTTTATCTAATGGTTTTGGTTTTGTCCTTTCCAGCAGCAGTAGGTAGCTGTTTTCAAAAAGAAAATGTTCAGCAAAAATGATTACACGGCCTAGTTGAATACTTGATTCTGATTGGTCAATTTGGGCATTCCAGAGGAATATTATTTTCCGCTAGCAGACCGTTGCTAAGGAGAACAGACCGTTGCTAAGGAGAACAGACTGTTGCTAAGGGGGATCAAGGGATTATATGCAGTCATATTTATCCACATAATGTGGCTTGGTGAAATAACTAATTGTGGTTATTTAGATAATGCAATCACCATATGAGAGGCATTGCTAATTTCTGCATTGTCATAGAATAATTAAAAAAATATCATGGTGTGATATTTACAAGGAATTGGGAAGTCTGCAGAATACAATTTGTAAACTGGGACTTCTGTGCAGATCCACAACACACTTCATTCAGAATTATATTTTAGCCTCTAACAAACACCGTGCATTGTTTGAATACAGCACTAGTCCGTATTGTAATAACATTTGGATTAGCTGTGCAGCTTCAGTTCACACAGTGTTTACTCCGCAGTAATTCAGAGCCCTGCATGTTCAGCCTCTCTGCAGGTGATGCTGTTGGCCGTCCTCCGAGGTCACATGACAGCACGGTTTTCCCCATCGCAGTCACGAGCCAAGACACCCGGCCATCTGTTAGATTTCACTTCCAACTGCGACCTCTTCACTCCCCCTGGATTACTAGCTCGCTCATTACTGCCTGAGAATTCAAGCTACAGGATCTTTCTCTTTCATTTTAAAGTCTGAGACTGGAGGCTTTACTTAAAACTGACTTTCTGGTCATTTTCAGGTGTATATCAGTATGTAGTGTATCTACTTTAAAGAGTCCTCTCCTGCTGATGTTCAGGTGTATATCAGTATGTAGTGTCTCTACTTTAAAGAGTCCTCTCCTGCTGATGTTCAGGTATATATCAGTATGTAGTGTCTCTACTTTAAAGAGTCCTCTCCTGCTGATGTTCAGGTGTATATCAGTATGTAGTGTCTCTACTTTAAAGAGTCCTCTCCTGCTGATGTTCAGGTGTATATCAGTATGCAGTGTCTCTACTTTAAAGAGTCCTCTCCTGCTGATGTTCAGGTGTATATCAGTATGTAGTGTCTCTACTTTAAAGAGTCCTCTCCTGCTGATGTTCAGGTGTATATCAGTATGCAGTGTCTCTACTTTAAAGAGTCCTCTCCTGCTGATGTTCAGGTGTATATCAGTATGTAGTGTCTCTACTTTAAAGAGTCCTCTCCTGCTGATGTTCAGGTGTATATCAGTATGCAGTGTCTCTACTTTAAAGAGTCCTCTCCTGCTGATGTTCAGGTGTATATCAGTATGTAGTGTCCTCAACTTTAAAGAGTCCTCTCCTGCTGATGTTCAGGTGTATATCGTATGTAGTGTCTCTACTTTAAAGAGTCCCTCTCATGCTGATGTTCAGGTGTATATCAGTTTGTGGTGTCTCTACTTTAAATAGTCCTCTCCTGCTGATGTTCAGGTGTATATCAGTATGTAGTGTCTCTACTTTAAATAGTCCTCTCCTGCTGATGTTCAGGTGTATATCAGTATGTAGTGTATCTACTTTAAAGAGTCCTCTCCTGCTGATGTTCAGGTGTATATCAGTATGTAGTGTCTCTACTTTAAAGAGTCCTCTCCTGCTGATGTTCAGGTGTATATCAGTTTGTGGTGTCTCTACTTTAAATAGTCCTCTCCTGCTGATGTTCAGGTGTATATCAGTATGTAGTGTCTCTACTTTAAAGAGTCCTCTCCTGCTGATGTTCAGGTGTATATCAGTTTGTGGTGTCTCTACTTTAAAGAGTAGTATTTGTTGGATGTTTTCTCAACATAACAATCAATCGTAATAAATCTCTGGTTTGCTGTCAATACTTCTGGCTGCTTTCTTTTGGTTATGAAATGAAATGACACGAGTAGAGGAGGAAGTATGCAAATAGATGACCAGAAGAAGTGTTCAATCCTGTATACTGAAGAGGCCCTATAGTAATACAATAAAGTGTAGTTTAAACAATAGACAAAGTTATATAAGAGCATCGACAGATTAATCATTTTGACCCACTGAGCTCAAACATCGACTCCTTATTTCCACTGAGGGCTTTCACTGTTAAGGTATTACAGTCGTGTGTGTGTGTGTGTGTGTGTGTGTGTGTGTGTGTGTGTGTGTGTGTGTGTGTGTGTGTGTGTGTGTGTGTGTGTGTGTGTGTGTGTGTGTGGTGTGTGTGTGTGTGTGTGTGTGTGTGTGTGGTGTGTGTGTGTGTGTGTGTGTGTGTGTGTGTGTGTGTGTGTGTGTGTGTGTGTGTGTGTGTGTGTGTGTGTGGGGCCTAGCATTACTATACTTGTGGGGACCTAAATCTGTTTACACAGTCACGTGTGGGGACTCGCCTCCCTTATGGGGACAAATTGGAGGTCCCCATGAGGAGAGTCATTAATTTTAGGGTGAAGACTTGGTTAGGTTTAGGGTTAGGCATGTGTTGGTTATGGTTAAGGTTAGGATAAGTCTCCAGGAAATGCATGTAAGTCAATGTAATGTCCCCTGAAGTGGTGTATACATGATATGTGTGTGTGTGTGGGGGGGGGATGCAGGTGGGGTGGGGGTGGAAGCATATTTTTAGATGTAAACACTAAAGGGAACATCAGAAGAAGACAGACAGGAAGTAAACAGTCTTGGTGTTGTTTTTCATTAATGACCACCTCTCTGCATCCCTTACTTATTGCATCTGTGTCTCTGACAGGTTCCCCTCCTTGACGTTTTATCTGTGTCCGAGGGAATAAACGTACCTTATCTTACGTTGTCTTTTTGTTGTTTCCTTCAGGGCTGCAGCATGTTTACTTCTGTGAAGGCCTTCGAGGGGCAGCAGTACTCGACCCTGAAGAGGCAGTGCCTGCAGAGCGGACTTCTCTTCGAGGACCCCAGATTCCCCGCCTACGACGACTCGCTCTTCTACCAGGGCAACAGGATCGGACGTGTGGTCTGGAAGAGGCCTCGGGTGAGTTATAATAGAGTTCAGCTGGTTAAAACCTGGTAGATATTTATGGTCTGAGGTAGGTGTGAGAAACTTCTGAAGAAATGGAGACGAAACTCAGAGAGACACGGAGAGAGGAGGAACTTTGATGGCAGACCCATGTATTTAGCTAGTTCTGAGAGAATAATCAACATTGTGCATAACAAGATGAAGCACTATAACCTCTATCAGCTGACGCCAACAGGCAGGAATAAGGAGACAAACTGATAAACTGGGTCAAAGTTATGGGCCTAGGAAAATATTTCACCAACAGTAGGGATGGGTATTTCAAGTTATATCCAAAAATCAAGTACTTGCTTTAGATTGTTTTTGAGAGTAGTTATGATACATT